CCCCTCCGTGGAGGGGGAGCCCCTCACACACACACCCCTCCGTGGAGGGGGAGCCCCTCACACACACACCCCTCCGTGGAGGGGGAGCCCCTCACACACCTCCCCAAGGAGAAGGAGCCCCCTCACACAACCACAGATACACAAGGAGCACCTCTCACACACGCAGAGGCAGCTCCTCAGACAGGGAACCCCCTCAGCAGCCCCTCCACACGCACACAAACGCAGGGAGCCCCTCACGCATCCACACACACACACAGAGGGAGCGCCCCCCTCACCAGCCCCCTCACACACATTCACACAGGGACACACAACGCACACACTCTCACACAGCCCACCCCTCCCCAGCCCTCTCATTCACACAGAGACATCCCCCCCAAACACACATACTACACACACACACACACACACACACACAGAGTGAGCCCTTCACACACCTATAAGGACCCCCCCCCACTCACACACACACTCACACAGGGACCCCCCTCACCGACTCCCTCATAACGCCCCAAACACGCACAGGCAGCCGACGCCCTCAGCCCCCTCCCAAACAACCCCTCACTCGGGGGTCCCTCGCCCCCCCCCCCCCGGCACGCATCGTACTCACTTTCTCCATTTGTTGGCCACAGACAAAGTGCGCCGAAGACGAGCAGGAACCCCCAGACGACGGCGAGGGACGCTCCTCCAGCGCCAGACTTCATTCCTCTTTCTTTAATTGGACAAAATCCCCCTTTCCGAAAACAAAACAAAAAAAAAGTCCAGAAATTGTTCGCTTTCTTTCCTCTCCCCGTCCTCTAAAAATAACGAGCGGCGGAGGAGAAGCGGGGCAGGGTAAATAAATCCACGTTGCCTCAAGAAATGGAAAAAAAAAAAAAAAAAAAAAAAAAGAAAAAAACACAAGACCCTTCGGAGAGCGGCGAACCGGAGGGTTGTTGAGGTCCCTGGGTGTTGATCTTCCGGAGCAACCACACCAAAAATACACAAGATATTCACGATGTATTAACGGCAACAACAACAAGGCATGGAAGCCCCGGGGCGACGCTGTCTCCGGGGCGGCGGGGCGGGCTCGGGGCGGCGGGCGGGGGGCGCCGCCGTCTCCCCTCAGCGCTGGCTGCGGTGGTACATCGTGCACAGGAGCCGCAAACACGAGGCACATCGGGGCTGGCAGTCGGCATCTTCAACCTCCATTTTCAAACACCGCACACACGCACATATACACACACACACAGAGAGACACAAAAACTGGGAGGGCCGCGGAGGGAGGGGAAGGGGGGGGGCGCGACCCAGACAATCCTATTACAAAACAACAACAGCTCCGCCGTCCCCCCGCGCGGGGACGGGGCTGCCCCGGCGGGATCCCCGCGGCTCCGCTCCCCGCTCGGCCGGGGAGGGTGGGGGGGGACACCCCACGCACAACCACCACCCACAACAACACCGCCGCCACCACCACGAGTCCGGCTGCCTGCAGAGGCTCGAAACGCAGGATTTGGGTCGAAAATGAATTAAAAAGGCTTCGCCCCTACTCCTCCTCTTCCTCTCCTCGGCGCGGCTGCCACAGGCTCCTTCTCCAAAAAAAAAAAAAAAAAAAAAAGAAAAAGAAAAAAGAAAAAAAAAAGCCGAATCCAGGACACACACACAAAGCAGCGGCGGCGGCAGCAGCAGCGGGGCGAGCGGAGCGCTCAGCACCCCGCCTCCTCCCCCCGCAGCTCTCCTCCTCGCATCCCTCCGAGCCGCCTTCCCATCGCGGCGGGGGCGGGGGGGAGGACGACGAACGACGACGACAACAACAACAACAACAACAAAAACCACCCAGCGAATTTGTAAATCCTTTTCCTTTTTTTTTTTTTTTTCTCCCTTTTTTTTTTTTCCTCCCTTTCCTCTTTTCCCTCCTCCTCTGGGTGCGCGCGCGCTGCAAACCTTCCCCCGGCGCTGCCCAGCCCAAGGCAGGGGGAGGGGGATCCGGGAGAGGTGTGTGTGTGTGAGTGTGTGAGCCGGGGGGGGGCGAGCAAGGCGATCCGGTTTGCTGAAGGTCAAAGCCCAGGAGCTTGTTGCGAAGGGTCTGTAATTCCTCCGGGGAGGGAACGGGGTGGGGAGGGGAGGGGGGGGGGGGAAGGGTCTGCTGCTCCTCCCAATTAATTCGCCGCTCGCTTGCGCCAGGGTTCGCAGCGCTCTGCTGCCGCGTCTGCCCCCCCCTTATCCTCCTCCTCCTCCTCCTCCGCGCTGGCTCCCTGTGCACGACGGAGAGTGAGCGCTGGTAAACAAGAGCCCGGCGTCGCTCCGCCGCCGCTTCCCCGCTCTGCGGCCGCGCGGGGACGGGGCTCGCTCCCGCCCTCCCCTTCCCTCCCTTCCCTCTCCTTCCCTCCCTTCCCTCTCCTTCCCTCCCCTCCCCTCCCGCGCGCGCTCCCGTGCCCCCCCCCCCCCGGCCCCCCCCGCCCAGGCGGCGGCGGCGGCGGCGGCGGCGCGCGCGGAGGCGGCGGCGGCGCGAGCGGGCGCCAGGGAAAACCCGGAGCGGAGCGAGCCCGGAGCGGAGCGGGACGGGACGGGAGGATGCTGCGCCCAGGGATGCTGCGGGACCGCCGCCGTCCCTGCCCCGGCCTTCTCTAAGGGGGAAACGGGGCAGGGAGCCCCTGATGGCTGCAGCGAGCATCCTGCGGGGCGCCGGGAGAGCCCACGAGCGACCCCCGCCAGTGGAAGCGCCGCTGTGTTCCCCACACATAATAAATAAAAAAAAAATTAAATAACATATAAAAAGGCAGGGACGGAGTTAGGAGGAAGGCAAAACCCATAGCTGCGATTTTTACATGGTTATGTTTGTTCATTTATGGCATTTAATGGCCGCACACTGAGAGCAGGCCAAGGGCAGGTCCTGCAGCACTGCTCCCAGGGATGCAGGGCAGGAGCGCAGGATGGGGATGCCAAGGCTTGGCTCACCAGAGGGGACAAACCACAGCAGAACATGTCCCCATCCATACTCACCACCCTCCCCTTCCACACTCACCACCTTCCCCTTCCACACTCACCATCCCCACCCAACACCCCAGCAGTGTGAGCTCCCTGCACGTTTCTCCGCTCGTATCCCTCGATGGCATTGGATGGCCAGCCCCCAAAAGGGGGGAGACAGGATTAGTTGAGGCAGAAGAGGTTTGGGCTTTCAGGGATGGGAAAACGTGGGCCGTGTTCCCGCTGTTTCGCCGGAGCTCGTAGTAGCCAGGCTGCTCAGCATATGGGTGTCCTGAGTAATCACTGATTTGTTGCAATACTTTGGCATGGGGAGATAGCAATTTGATGCTTAAGTATAAGAAAGCAGACATCTGTGAGCATTAGCTATACTCTAGGGTTCGGGTTTGTTGTTTTTTTTTAAAAAGCTATGTTGAGAAATTTGCAAATGTCACATTATTAATGCAAATGTCAAAATTAAGTTTTTTACATTTAAACCTAAATTCTCCTTGAACATCTTGTATTACAATAGCCTTCTGTTATGTTACCACATCATTCCCCCAACCTTATACATGTTTTTCTTCTTGTAGTTTCTCCATCCATTCTCATACCATTTTCTGTGTCAGAATGGTTCAGTTATCTGAGTTACACATTAGCTCTTGTACCCCTCAGGAAAGGTGAAAAGGTTCTATTCTGCATTACAGAAGTTAAGGGGAAGATCATCACTGAGCACAAGGGGGGCAGAATTGCCATGTGTGCACACATATGCAGGACTGTGTCAATAATTCAGTAATAATAACTCAAAGCACAAGGCTGTGCCCATTTGGGTGGTATCACAATCCTCCCAAGATTCCGTGCAGGAAAATCAGATATTTACACATGAAACAATCCTGGACTGCCACGTGTGTGTCTACCATAGACAGACTTTCAAGTCCTCAAATTGAACCAGAAATATCTTCATGTCCCATAAATTTTTACTGTTGCTGAGTACAGCTGTGCCGGGTGCTGAGCAGTACAAGTGTCCTTTCTGTCTGTGTTGTAGCATTGATGCAGCATAAATTATAATGTGTTATTTACTAATTAATGTATTGTTGTGTAAAGGCAGAGCTGAAGTGGGAGCTGTATGTCTGTGGTGGATCATTCTGCTGTCATAAAGAACTTCTATTATTGTAAAATAGCCTTTCTTTCATTACTTTGGCAAATGGGGTAAGTCATGGACAAGCACATTGTGCTGGATAATGCAGAAGCAGAGAACAAAAAGATGTGCTGTGCCCCCCAGAGAGCTTCCAGTCTCATGTAAACACAGTCCTATAGGTGTCATAACGCAGTTTGTTTCTGGAATCTGTCAGATTCTTTTAAAAAGTTTTTTGAAAACACAGTGTTGAACCAGAGGTGTTTGCTGTGCTCTCCATCCTGCTGAGCTGCCGATGCAAAAGTCATAATTTGGAATTGTCTGGCTGGATTCTTCCAGGATGTCTTTACCTTTTATGCTGTGGAGGTGCATTGGGGGGAATCCCTTTTTGTGTGAATGCTGACACGCCCTTAGCTCTGCTCTCTTAACCTCTTAAGAGAAGACCTGTGCCCAGTGTTCAGCATTCCTCACCCTTTCCCGTGTTGGGCAGCTCCCAGTGCCAGCCATGCACATGCTCGTGCTCAGCTTCAGTGGCACTTTTAATCACATTTGGCTCCTGCATGTTGATGTCTTTCTCTGAGAGTGTTCCCATTATTTTCAGTGGAAATATTTAAGTCAGGATTTTTCAACATGTACAGCCACACCACGGCCATATGTTTGACCATGAAAACCTCAAGCACACTGTACTACACGTACCATGTGCAAAATTAACGAGTCGTAATTTGGACAAATTAAAGTTAATTTTCATGGTGACGTGCAAAGATGCTTCATGATGAAATATGTTTCCTTGTCAACACTGTTTGCCTCTGCTTTTATCTGTAGACCTGTGCAAAGGAGGTTGATATAAGTGCTGAGAAGTTTTGCTTATTGGGAACCCAGATGTGGCATCCTGTGGCTGAACACCTTGCATATCCTTACAGCAGCTTGAATAGCTTTGGCCTTTCTTTGGACCAAAAAGTGTTTACAAATATTTTGCTGGAACTTCATCACAAGGAAGTAAAACTGACTAGACACAAAAACACCCAGCCCAAAACAAAAACATTGTGGCCAATGGATTAAATGAGGTGGCCAAAATGCAAAATTCCTGTAGTTTGTAGTCTCCCCAAGTCCATCTGAACATATCAAAGATGTGTTAGGAGAAGGTTTCCCAAGTTGTGGCCATTTGCAATCTTGGATGAGATTTGGGAAAACTGTCTCTTCATTTTTTCTAACTTGTTTATTTTATCAGGTCATTCTTCCACCAACTTAGACCTCATTTCCACTTCTTTTACCTGCTGCAACTTGTCCAGTGGCTCAGCTATAAACTGTAGCAGTTTGTGTTTTGTTATTGCCCAGCAACCCACTGAGGTCCCGATCCTTAGCAAAGCCTCCCACGTGAGATAATAATAATAAATAAAACTTTTTAAAAATAAGGTGTGCACTGTTCACTGCCTATTGTGTGTGTAGATTCGTGCAAAGTCATCTTCTGCTTTCTTTTTCCACAGGAAGCCTGAAATATAGATGTCATTAAGAAATCATTTTGTCATGACTTGATCTTCCCTGGTGGTAGGAAATGGCTTTTCCTCTCCGTCCTGTTGGTTCTACAATCATCCCTCCTCTCTGTTTGCACTGGGCTTTGAGCCTCCCCTTTGTCCACTGCTGGTTTATGGTCCTTGAGACAGACAGATGGACAGAAGGAAACACACAACCACACACCCCCACACTGCGCTCTCCAGAGTGTGATGCCGAATGCCACCGGCATACCTGTGTCCTGTTCGAAATGCCGCTGAAGTGGAAAGCTCGGGAAGTGTGGCAGTGGGGATGAAACAACGCGGTTAAAACAGCCACTGACCCCGGTCTCTCAAAACATGTATCTGCCCAAGGCAAATATCCTCATACTCAGCCATACTTTAATTTTAACAGCGGCCTCACCGCTGCTTTCTGGGGCCACCACTGGGGAGAGAGAGGCCTCGCTGGTTTCCCTGCCTCGGTGCTCATGCTCCATATAGGCTTGACTAGACTTTATTTTGGCTTCTGCAGCACGTTCAGGGCAGCCTGACCTCTTTACCAGACGCTCGCTTGTCGTAACCTTTAAGCATCTGAACATTTTGTATTACCAGCGTAAGGGAGTAGTTGAAATTTATTCTCCTGCCTTCTCCAGCCGTGTCAGCTCCCCGGGACGAAGGTCAGCTGTCACGGAGCGTTGCCTGTGTCTGCTCGAGGTGCTGCTCCTTGGAAGGTCTTTGCAGCTCCTTGAGTGTCCTTTGCGATGGCCCAGGAGCTGAGAGCACCCACCAGAACCACCTCCTCTGCTCCAGGGGCTCCTGCTGCTGCCAGCTCGCCTTGCCCAGGCTCTGCTGCGGGCTGAATGTTTCTGTAGCAGGGAGGTGTGGATTTGTAAGTGTTCCAGGTAGGAATTATGCCTGGGTGAGTGATACATCTTTTACACAGCTTGGGTGAGTGGGATTTGTACACCTGAAAGGCACACAGAAATCCTTGGACATTGCTCCTTTCCTTCCCCCCCCTTCCCAAATCTCCACTTATAAACTGCATTTTACAGGCTCGTAACAAGCCAGGCAATGTCAGGCAAAATGTGGGTTGCCCATTTTTACCACGTTTTCCAGTTTTTTGCCAGTTTTTGCTCTGTGTTGAGTCGAATCCTGTACCAATGACCTTCACAAGCTCCCAACTGCAGGATAACACTCAGTCTCCTCTTGGCAAGGGGACAGGAGCACAGCACACTCTGGAATGGACACTGGGTGGGCAGGTTGACATTAACCCCTCTGTCTGTAGAGCCTCTCCAGCCTCCAGCCGCCTTCCCTTTCCCAGATCTGCAGGATTTGGGTGGAAGCAACCACCTCACCATAACAGCAAGAGGGCTGAGCAGAATCCTACAGCTGCAGGAGAACAACCTCTGAAGAAAAATGGAGGGAAAAAAAACAATTGGACACGTTTGATGTGGGAAAAACTTAAATACCAGACTGCTAATCACATGGACCCAAATGAAGGACATTTCTGTGGCTCTGGGTGATTTCTGTTTCTCCTGGTCCCAATATTACTGCAAACATTAGCTCAAGATTGGTCCCTTCTGGAGCAAAGGAAAAACAGAAGGCAGAAAGGGTATTGTTTATTACCTCTTTCCCATACACCTCCCTCCTTCAAACAAAGAATATGCAGTTACATGGATGATTTAAAGGCGGCAGCTGAGCAGGAATAACTATAAAATTCATGTTTTAATAACAACAACAATAATAAGCACACAACAGCATTTATAACCCTAGTTACAGGCCTGAGATATCATATCCATAGCAACTGCAGCAAGCGGTGAATGCCATATATTTAGAGTTCCCGTGCACCTGCCTAAAATAGCCACCGATAAATTATGCTGATGTTTGTGCCTTTTTGACAGCGTTTTTAAGGGGCTGTCGATGCACTTTGCAGCCACGCTGAGCCTTCGCGGCGCGGCTCGGCAGCGGCAATACCCCTTCCCTGCCACACCTCGTGTTTGTCTCCTCTTTTGTGTGTGTGGATGCGAGAAATCAGCGATAAAAGGCACCTCGAAGGTGATGTGGTGGCAGGAGCGAGCGGTACGCGCTGCCAGTCGCTCCCGGTGCCTCTCGGCTCCCCGGCTGTCAGAACCTGCCTCCCGTTAATGGATTGAATTAATAAAGTGCTGCGAGTCGCTGGGGCTCTATCCTGCTCCTGCTCTATCCTGCAGACACGGGCGATGTGATCACGCTGCATATCAATGGCCTGTGTGTAAATAGTTTACCAGGAGTTAATGAGTGGCTGGGAGGTGTTGGAATACACGGCCAGTCAGTTGTGGAGGTTGTTAGAGAGTCCAACAGGTCAATCGCGTGCTTGTAACTGTGGCTTATAAGCATCTACCAGACCATCTGTTGATGTGCTTATTACATTCTATAGCACAAACTCCTGATGTCTGCAACGAGCTCATAACAGCTATTAATCTTGTATTATTAACCCTTTTAAAGCAACGTCTATTTTAATATGTAATGTCATCAGCAAGAATTCCAGCAGCCTAACTGGGGGAGGGATCAGATTTTTACCTCCAGGTAGAGGGTAGAAAGGGTCTGTCCCTACTGTATCGTATGACTTTTGGATTGAGCACTTTGGGTTTTCACTTGTTAAATAAACTTTGGACGTGCATGAATCCTGCGGAACATGGAGCAACCTGGTCTAGTGGAAGGTGTCCCTGCCCATGGGAAAGGGGTTGGGAGCTTTAAAATCCCTTTTAACCCAAACCATCCTAGGATTGTATGAACCAGGCCCACCCAGGTGCCCTCTGGGATGATGTGATGCTGACCCACAGCAGTGAGAGGGACGTGCTGTAATCGTATCAATACCTGGAAGAAACTTGCTGTATTTTCCAACTGATTAGCAACATCCATCTCCAGATCTTAAAATGTGTTTATAGGCAATTAAATGCCACAGTTCATTCGTAAGGAGAATAATTATCACTGCTGTGAAGAAAGAAACGCAAGTGTAGACTGATTCCAGTGACATAAAGCTCAGCCCTTTTACCTGCAGGTGAATTAAAAGGACCATGAATGCCTCTGGGCTTTTTGGTTTTGTGGGATTTTTTAAACCTTGGATATACAATCATTTGTTTAAGATGATTTCAAAATAAACTTCTAGTTCCTCTCTGCATTTGGAGTTGACTCCAGATGGAGCTGAATATACAAAAATTAAGATTATTTGTTCTAATTTGGCAGAACGTATAAATGGAACCCAAAATAAAGTCAATAGGGGATTAAATAGGATAAAATTATGGAATTATAGACTGTAGGTATTCATTTATACCAAATCTTTGATACAGTTCCATACAGAATAAAAGGACCTAAACATTACATGTGCACAATACATACAAGAATATATGTTTTCATTAATCCCCATTTCCATCAGTTCAACGACATGCTAGCATCAAAACTCCTACAAAACTAAGGAACTCCAAACTATCTCACATTTGCAAGAAGAAAGAAAAATGTTTATTCAAGAAGATTATGGAAAAGCACAACCTTAAAACCAGTAAATTGGATCTCCAGCATAAAAAGCAAAAAAAAAAAAAATGTTTCTGAAAATTTTTGAAGAAAAAAAACCCTGACTCCTTCTTGGTTGAAATAAGATTTTTTTGACTTCCTATAAAATTCAGGGTTGGGCGGGTATTTTTTTCAAAGGCATCAAATTATGGACAGGATCAAATTGGATTTTAGGGTAAATTAATGTACAACCCTGAATGGCTGCACATCCATTTAAATGGTATTGAAAATGCTTTAAAGCAGTTGGAACATATTTCCAGGTGGTTTGGGAATGTGTAAATATTAGCACATTCTGAAGGTTGGTTTTAAAAGGCCCTTCATACTCGATAGGCCTTGACATCAATTTTCCCCTAATTTGCTCTGTGTGTGTGTGTGTGAATGTTCTGTATGACCACCACAGATTTTGAAATGGATGACTCATATGGGTTTAGTGGTAGAAGAAGGAATATTGGTCTGGAGATGGAGGACATGGAAAGAAGGTTGTTAATCATAAGCAGCTTGGAAAAGAAATTTTAAAACGGTCTTTCCAAATACAAGAAATTACAATATTCCTTTGAAAGACGGGTTTCCATCAGCACTCATTGCCTTTAACCCATTCCTCTGCCCTTGCTCTTTATTCCACGTGTGAGTGTTCAGAGTGGGCACAATGCCCATGCAAAGAAGAAGTGAATATCTCCTCCACACCTTCTCTGGGAAACTACTGCATTTAGATAAATACATCAGAGGTATAGAAGGCTCTTGGTTGGTGTATCAAGGAAATGAACTTGAGTCAGAAATACCAACTTCAAATATTTTAAAACTTTAGGACAAACCATGATGCAGGATGTGGATCTAAAACTCATTTTTTTTACAATTTTAAAAGAATTAAAGCTTTCTTTTCTCTCTTTTTCTTTATTTAATGCAGAGGATCTAGGATTATTTCTTGTATCGCACTATTAACTTTCTCTTCCTGTGCTTCCACTACCTACAAACCACTTGCCAAGAACACATGTGCTTTGTGAGGAGACTGGTTCCATAATAGAGCAATTACTCAAAAAACGGACTTTGAATCTCAGTTGTTTAAATCCCAGTTACCAGCCAATTATAACCCCAACAGAGACAAACTGGCTCCTTTACATAATGCTTTTGTTAACTCCTCTGTATTCAGCCACGTGGATACATTCAGGCTACTGCTTTTTTTTCTGGATGGACTCCTCCAGCCTGTCTGGACTTTTATTCTGCCCCTGGAGACAGTCACAGCTAGAACTCCGTCCAAATTGGGAAGACATAGCGTAGCAGCTCTTGAGACCAGCCATCAAATAGCCCATATAAATATAACAAACCCTCCTTAGTGACTTAGGACCGCTATTCCTGCAAGTTAACAAACATCTGGGGTAATTAAAATTATTATCCACATTCTTTGGACAAACCAATCAAAACATTTCCCCCCGTGTCTCTCCCAGTCACACCCTCCCCATTTTCTTCTCTCACAGCATTTCTGAAACTGGTATTCATGCAAATGAACTGGGGGATCACTGGCAATGTGTCCCTCAGCATCGTGTGAGCTCCTGGGCTTGTTTTGTGCGAGAGAGTTGTCATTGGCCTGGAAGTTCCCATAGTGAATTTATTGGTCTTCTGACGTTCCTGGCGCCAGGTCCACATTCCCATAAAACAAGCCAGGAGAAACTTTGGAAACAGAACCTTTATAGTATCCACATATTGGGCCATATTCAACTCCAAAGTCAGCAGGTGCAACTCCCATTGATTTCAGTGGGAATTCTGTCTGCTTGGGCTAGAGCTGAACTTGGTCCATAGTGTCTGGCATCTTTCCCAAAAACTCTCTTCACTGAATGCTGGGAATGAACCAAAGCTTAATACACTTCTCTGCTGTCCCTAGGAAAGGAATCAGCCTGTCTTTTCAACAGATTGTAGGGAAAAATACCTGCTAGTCTTGCAGAGCTTCTTTTGCCGTTGTACCCCAATGTTCTCATGAACTCACACTTTGTTTAAAGATTGTCTGTCCAAGATATCCTTTTTTCTTTTTTTTTTTTTTTTTGAGGCTTAAAAGGAAGAATTCACTTAGTCTTCTTTTTTTTTTTTTTTTATGGCACAGTATTTCTTATGCAGTGATTTTTAAACATCACTGAAAAAAACCTTCCAATGCAAATAATTTAAGAAAGACTCTCTCCTGAAAAGGAACGTGGTTTTGTCTGAAGAACTGTTCTTTCTGCTAAGTCATCTTACAGAGGAGAATTGCATCAGAGTGTATTTTATTTAAATCCCTGAGAGGGGAATGAAAACTCTCAGGTGCATTTTTAAGACCCTCACGTTTCCTGATGTGTTGCTGAAACTCAACATATGCTTAAGTGCATTCTTAAATAAGACCCTTTGAATGAGGTCTTACATAACTGTATCTTCATACCAGAGGATTTGCATTCTGTAATATTTGCTACAGCGAGTGTAGAAAAATTAAAATAGCATTATAATCTCCAGGCAAAATTATGTGTGGGTTAAGGCATGAGATTCCAATTCGTCAGCAAAATCTGGTGAGAGCAGATTTTTCAGGGGATGTCCATCACCGTAGGGGCAGGATCTTATCAGGCAGGGCTGTTCTCACAAGAGTTTGGCATAGATTAGTGTATGTAAATTCGAGATAAACTGCTGAGTGAGATAGGAGGATGTCTGGCTACTTTCTCCACCTTCTCAATCTGGATAGAAATAACCAAGACGAGGCCACGCTGTTACCTGCTCGAGTCGAGTTGTCAAAATGTTCTTCCAATCCTTTAGTCCCACCACACTCCTTGTCAAACATGCCTTTGAAAAATCCTCTCGTAGGCTTGGAGTTGGCAGAAGTCTGCTCGTGTGTGTTGTGAAATGTTACTTTCACTTCCCAACACTCAAAACTGCAGGAATTTTCCTGAGGAGGCAGCAGGGCAGCTCCCTCAGAGAGAGGCGTGTGGCAGCAGTGCCGGGGAGATTCCAGGTATTCTCTCCCTTTTTTTCTTTCTAGGTGGTGGCTTTGCCTTCACTCCACTCCAGATACTCACAGTAGCAGCTATTGCTCACAAATCAAACACCACACCATAACTGTGGGGTCTTCTAGATTGATTTTAATCCAGATTACTGTCTTTTGTAGGGAGACTTCTCAGAACAGATTTCTGGTGTAACACATCAGCTCTGCAGTCTCAAGGCTCCAGAACAAGTTCATAGAGGATCCCTGTGCATCCCTGCCTGATGTGTTGAGGGGAAATCATGGCAGAGGCCTGATTTCCTGGAGCAGGAGAGAGGATTTCTACAAAGCACCTTCCTAGAGGAGCCAAACAGCAGGACTGTGTCACTCAACAGTGCCACTGGGTGCACCATACACCTTAAATACACCATTTAACTGATAAAATATATTAAAGAAATAACATCTTCTTTGACAAAACCAGAAGAACAAAATCCCCAGTAAGTTTTCTGAGTTAAAAGATGCAACAGGCAGTGGTAGAAGATGTGGTCCATAAAGGAGCCTTTTTCTCTTCGAATTTTTTTTGCCAGTGGCCCTAAACACCATTCTGCACCAGCTCAAGCCAAAGATTTTGCCCACTAGAAACATTTGTGCAGAGCCTGGAATGGGGGAAAAAAATATTTTATAAAACACTGTGAGAAGCACCTTCTGAATTTACCATCTCAGGAAGAGGCTTTGAAGACTATCAGCTTTCTGGAGGGTGCCATTGCTCCTGGAGAACAAGATTGGACCTGTGTAGTCACTTTTTTTCCTGGATCCCGTGCACTAATTCTGGCATTTAGACATTAAAGCCTCCTGGCTTCTCCACATGGCCGTGTCCC